GTTTCAAAGGAGCCGTGGTGACATCTGACACAGCAGCCATTCCCCGAGGAGGGAACCCTTTGGCTTTTGTGGAGGTCGTTCTGGGGATGTCCAGCATGGTGGGAAGGACGGAGCTCTGGAATAGAGCTCCTTAATTCTGCCCTTTAGAAGCCTTTTAACCTCTCTGTGCCTTAGTTTCCCCATCTCTAAAATGCCAGTTTTATCCCTCACATCATTACCATGAGGATCAAATGGGGTGATGGAAGCATTTAACTAAGTGCCATTCACATCATGTTCAACTAATGTTGTGGGAATGTTAACAATTGTTCTTCCTACCTCCAAGGCTTGTTTGAAGGATGCAGTAAATTTATGTCTTTATTTGAAAGTGATAGCAAACTATGAGAATATTGAATACTGTCATTGTAGATATCACCTTTCTTTCATTGGTTTGAGAACTAAAATTACTAAAGGGCAAGGATATTGTTTATAGGACTGTTTATAGGACTTAAATATGTTGCCTGATCTTTGAAGATCAGCCACTTTCCAAATTCTCATGGATTCGAGAAGAGGCATACGACCCTGACTCTAACTCTCTTGATATTCTCAGGTGGGTGGTAAACCCAGAGTTGGTTTTAATCACAGCCCCCCACTCATTAGCTATGTGACCTGGAGCAAATGACAGACTCTAGCCAACTTAGGACTCCCTTCTGTAAACCCGGAGGAGCAGTAATAACAGCCACCTTGTGGGGTTGTTGAAATGAGGAGTGCAAGGCCCCGCAGCACAGGTGCTGGTACCATTGGCCCTTGACCTCGTCCCTTTCCCTCACTCCCACTGTGTTGGGACAGTGGACTGCAGAGCAATTTTTAGAGTCTGGAGAAGGTAAGGGTGCACCTACTGGAGGAGGCAAAGACCAGAACGTAAAGTGGTGTGGAAGCATTCACTAAAAGCACACTTAGTAAATAAACAGATGGAAGATGTTCAACATTGTATGGCTTATTAAGGAAATACAAATTAAAATGAGGTATGTATAAAAAATAAGGAACTTTTGGTGTATGTTTAGAGAAATAGACATTGCAGATAATCACTGTGGTAGTAAAAAAGGTAGCAAACCTTTCAATGTATGTTCTTTTCTTTTTAATGGAGATATAATTCACATACCGTAAAATTCACCCTTTTAATGTGTACAGAATTATGCCAGCATCACCACTATCTGATTTCAAAAACCCTGTACCCATTTAGCAGCTGTTTCCTATTCTCTCAGCCCTGGGAACCACCAGTCTGTTTTCTGTCTCTATGGATTTGCCTATTCTGGATATTTCATATAAATCACCCAATAGGTGATCTCTTATGTCTGGCTTTTTCACTTATGGCGTTGATGGACATTTGGGCTGTTTCCAGCTTTTGGCTTTTGAGGATAGTGCTGTTGTAAACATACATGTACATGTATTTGAGTACCTATTTTCCATTCTTTGGATTTATACTCAGGAAATTTCTGGACCATATGGTAACTCTACATTCCTCTTCATTTTTGAAGCTTTTTTTTGCAGGGCGGGGGGGGGCGCGCAGAAACAGAAGTCTTGGTTGACGACGACGACTACTACTACTACTACTACGACTTCTTCTTCTTCTTTTAAATTCTCAGAACTTTGAATATGTCATCCCATTACCTTCTAGCTGCCATGGTTTCTTTTTTTCTTTTCTTTTTTTAACTTGTTCATTTATTCCTTTGTTTAATAAATACCTATCAAGTGTCTGCTATATGATAGGGTTTTTTTGCTTTTGTTTTTGTTTTGTTTTGTTTTGTTTTGTTTTTAGGTATTTGGTATTGGCTCCATGGTTTCTGAAGAGATTAGCTGTTACTCTACTTGAGAATGCCTTGTGCTAAACGAGCCACTTCTCTCTTGTTGCTTTCTCCTTGTCTTTGGCCATTGACAGTTTGATTATGATGTGCCTGGGTCACATCTCTGAGTTTTTCTTACTTGGAATTTGCTAAGCTTTTTAGATGTCCTTCAGAAACTTTGGAAGTTTTTGAAGCTTATTCGGATCTTGCCGCCCCATCTTGTCTTTGTTTCTGGACATCTCAATATGCACCTGTTGATGTACTTGATGTCTCACATATCTTTGAGGTTGTGTTCGTTTCTCTTCTCTCATTTTTCTTGAATTTCCTTAGGTTACATAAACCAAATTGTTCTATTTTTAAGTTTGTTGATTCTTCTGCCTGCTCAAATCTGCTATTAAGCTCCTCTAGCAGATTTTTCATTTAATTATTGTATTTTTCAAATCCAAAATTTCTATTTTTTTATAATTTCTAACTTTTTTGTTATTTCCTCTTTGGTGACACATTATATTCATTCTTTCCTTTAGCTCTTTAGACATGGTTTATTTCTAGAACAAATTTAAAATAGCTGATTTAAGACTTTTGTCTAGTAGGGATTTCTCAGGAACAATTTTTATTACACTCCAATTTTTTCTTGTGTGTGGACTATACTTTTGTTTCTTTGTTGTATTCTTATTCCTTGTTGAAAACTGTACTTACACAAGAATATAATGTGGCCATTCTGGCCATCGTATTCTGTTCTTTACCCGTACTTTCATAGTTTGTTGTTAATTTGGTTAGTATTACACAAATTACTTTTGTGAGGTAATTTTGAAAGTCATGTGTGACCACTGAAGTCTCTGCTCAGTTTAGTGGTCAGCTAATGATTAGAACTTTTCTTAAATGCCTAGAATCTAAGTCTCCCAATCTTTGACAAGGATCTCTTTGTGCATATTGGGGCATGCTTTCAGTGCTCAGGCAGGCAGTTGGCAACTCTGCCTTGGCCTTCACTTCCTGTTTGCATCGAATCTCAAGGTCAGCCAGAGGTAAGAACTTAGGGCCTTCTCATGTCTTTCCTAACCATGTACCATGCTTTTGCCCATAAATAGCCTTCTAGTTTCCCAGGAAACCTCCAAACCTCTCATGGAAGGTTTTCCAAAGCTCCCATGGACGCTCCTAGCTTTTCCTTCTAAGCTGTTTGGTCCACCGATTTACCCAAACTGTTATCCTCCCTCAGGCAGCTGTGGTATTAAACAATTGCCTCTGATTGTTTTCAACAAATGCCCTTAAGGAAAAATAAAGATAACTTTTCAAGTAGAGTCTTCCAAGAAGGAAGGAAAGGAAAAATAATGGCAATTCTCTATGAAAAGGGCTTTGATGGAACTCAGACCCATTCTGCCCCCTCAGTGGCTGTCAGGCTGCTGGCTTCCATTCTGATTGCAGATGCTGGTTATTAGGGCTGCTGCAGAGTTGGGGAAGAATGGATAGGAATAAGGCAAGTTAAAATGCCACAAAGCTCTTTTATTCTTACCAAGATTCAGCCATTTTTCTTGAATAAACATTCCACAGATTGCTGCAAACCTTTAGTTAATTTCTAGAGTTCTGAAATAGTTGCTTCTGATGATTTTTTGCCTATGTTCTTTATTTTACAGAGGAGAGTCTGATTGTCCTTATTCCACCATTTTGCTGATTTTTCAATGTATGTTGAGTCTTAGGCTTATACCCCATGAATTAATCCCAAAGCAAGGGAAGAAAAAGCCAGTCATGTCCACCGTCATGTTTACCAGTGTTATTTATGATAGTGAGAAATTCAAAATGTTCTAAATGAGTAACATTAGTGGGGAAAAGCATATACATTCTGGGTCACGCTGTAATGTAGCTGTATAAAAGAAAGAGGAGTCCTGGGCAGTAGGATTAAAACATGGAAGCTGTGACCCTTGGTTCTAGAGTCAGATGGGCTGGGTTAGAGTTTGGCTCTGAGATTATAATAAATGACTTGTAGCAAATTAATTCATCTCTCTAAGCCTCAATTTCTCATCTGTTAAATGGTGGCAGTTCTGTAACAGTGCTGAGAACTTTCACAGAAGGTGTCCAGGTGATATGCTTGGCTCAGCCATTGCTAGCATCTAGAAGATGAATATACAACGCATATTCCTGCCATTGTAGTGCCCTTTTTTCTAACCTTGGTTTTTCCATGCATTGCCAAGGGATCTTTTTTTATTTTGGTTATCGCATATGTAAAATTTCACATCCTTATAGTTTATTTGCCATTATATCACTGTTGTTGCTATCATTCAATAGAAAATTCTTTATAATACATGATAGAATTATGGGTTGTATATTTTCTCTTTTCCATTTTATTTTATTTTTTTAATCAATGGAAAAGATAAAAGTGTACGTATAGTAAGAATCTCTTCTTAGGGCACTTAGGTGGCTCAGTTGGCTAAGTGACTGACTCGGTTTCAGCTCAGGTCATGATCTCAGGGTCCTGGAACCCCGGGATCCTGCATCTGGCTCCGTAATCAGTGGGGAGTCTGCGTGAGGATTCTCTCTCCCTCTGCCCCTCCTCTTGCTTGTGCTCTCTCAAAAAAATAAGTAAATCTCAAAAAAAAAAAAAAAAAAAAAAAAGGAGGAGCTCTTCAGGAGGGTCGGGGCAGGATTACCTGCCATTAGACGCTGGTATGATAGAAGTATGTTTTCCAGGTGCGTCTTCAGGGACTTGACTTTTTTTTCCCCCCAAGATTTATTTATTTGGTGGGGAGAGAGGGAGCACAAGCAGGGGGAGCAGCAGGCAGAGGGAGAGGGATAAGTGGACTTCCCGCTAAGCAGAGAGCCCAATGTGGGGCTCGATCCCGGGACCCTGGGATCATGACCTGAGCTGAAGGCAGACACTTAAAAACTGAGCCACCCAAGTGCCCTTTCAGAGATTTTTTGATAAACCACTATTTCCTGAGTCTCTGCAGGAGGCTGGGATGTACTTACTGGTCTTCTTCAAGGGGGTCTTTTATTCAGAGTCCTGGGGGCTAGGGTTCACTGCTGCCTCCTCAGAGTGGGTTGTGAAAGTGGAGGTTAAAACCTAGGAGCACCCTCTTAAATTTTATCATTCATCCTTAGGATTTCCCTGTGGGGCCTCCGTTTCCTCATCTGCTGCTCATCTGTGCTGATGATCTCTGTAACTCGGCAGGGCTTGTTTTTCCATTTCAGGTTCCGAGGTGCACCGATTATACCCGTGGCGGCCAAGCCTGGGGGGCCAGAGGCCCCTGAAACGGAAGCTCCACAGGGCATCTCAGAGCTCATTGAGGTACTGTCAGCTTGAATCCAGGCTGGCCTGTGGCCCCAGCCCCACTCAGGCCCCTTGTGTCCTGCTAAGTGTGAAACGGAGAGAAGGGGGAGGCACCCCAGCAAGAAGACTCTGAGCTGTTCCTTTAAGTCCCACCACACTTCCCCAAGGCACCTACATACGGTGCGGACCCTCCCTCACTCCCATCCTAGAGTGAAACCAGAATAGAAGCAGAGGCCTCACTCTCTAGCCCAAGGTCCTGCTGAGCTATCCACACCCTTATAAGTCGTTCAAAAGAACGTGTCAAACACCCCTACTCAGACAGAGCAGCTCCTGCCTCCTGGGGCTTTGGGCCCTGTCTTCCGTTCCAGGCCTTCAGACTGGGCCACTGCCTCATTGTGTCCCACTGGCTGATGGAGACGGGCCCAGCAGCAGGGCAGCGAGGCTCAGGGCCTTGTGGGCTCCCTGAAATAACGGCGCTTCTGAGGCATGGGCTTCCTCCAGGCTCAGTGGTGATAGGTATGGCCGGGAGCCCAGCCAGCACAGGGTGCCCAGGGCAGCCAGAAGACGGGGCAGGGGTGGGGGGTGGGTGGTGATGCTGCTGTGAGGCCGTGACAATGGAGACCAGTGTCCCTCGCTCAGAAGGGTGGCGTGGCGACTGTGGGCTGGATCCTCGGCCCACCACCTGCTCTTTGTGTGTCTCTAAGCACGTGACCTGCTCTCTCTCACCTAGCACGTGACCTGCTCTCTCTCACCTCTGTCCCCTCAGTTGTAAAGTCAGGAAAAGAGCACTAGCTGTGGAGTTGGTGTGCAGGTTAGATGAGGTTAGTAGGTGTCCTGTGCTCAGAACGGTGTCGTATCAGAGTTTGCTCTGATAGTGATCTTTACATGCCTTTCACAAGGACCATGAACTTTCACAGTGGTGCTGGGAGGCTAACATTGTTTATCCCCATTTTACCAAGGAGGCGTCTGAGGTCCAGAGAAGTTAAGTAACTTGCCCAAGGTCTCACAGCAAGTATGTGGTGGAGCTGGCATTCAGCCCCAGATCAGTTGCTGGGGTGTCTTTGGGGTCCCCTGACACCTGGACCCACAGAGCTGAGAACAGATGCAATCGTGTGCACTGCGACTGATTCTGTGATTACACGGTGCTGCTCTGACTGACTTAGTAGAATAGGCCTTTCCTGGCTGAGGCTTTTGCTACTTTTTCCTCTCCTTCTGAGAGCTCTTGATCAAGGAGCCTTGGACAGTTGTTTTTACTAAAGCAAAATTCACAAACACTGCTATGGAAGATGTTTGTGTATTCCTTTAAGAAGCCTCTGCATAAATCCCAGGCCAAGCCTGTTTTGAAACTGTAGTTTTTTTCCCAGAAGAATTGTTATCACAAGGCTGAGAGTTTGGAACATTCACTGCCAAATACTTTTTGACAGCTTCTTTCCGAACGAAATCTGAAAGCCTCAAAATAAAAGGAATAATGTGGTCTTTATTTTCATTTGTTTATTGGGAATTAGCTCTGACATCTAAGAGCACATAGTCCGCATGAGGAAAATGGGCTGGCTGTGGTGGAAGCGCATGGAAGGAGAAGGAGCAGCAGCCCCACAGACTGAGAGGGCAACGCTGGCCCTTGGCAGACATCAGGTGGTCCCCCATCTCTGCCTCGGCCTGGAGCTGTGGCCTCCCCCCCTCCTGCCCTGCCATACATGGCGGCAGCCCTGCTCACCGGATCGTTTGGTCGCTTTTCCTTCTCTCAGGCACCATGCCAGCTGCTGGAGATCCTTGGAAGGACTCATGGCCCTAGGAGAGAGACAAATAAACAAAAGCTCACAACAGTGTGTTAATGGGTGATGGGGGCGGGGAGCACAGCCGTACAGAAGGGGCAGAAAAGCCTTCCCAGAGGCGGTGTCTCTCCGGAGAAGGGGAGGCAAAGCTGGCTGGGGAGCTTCCAGGGCCTGCCAGTGGCTGGTTCCTGCTGTGAGAGGCCACGTGGTGGGGGATGAGGCCTCCACGGTACCTAGGGGCTAGCCAATGACACATCTTAAATCCTGCAGGCTCAGAAGGCTGGGAAGGCATGTGAGGTCAGATGGATGTGCCTCAGGCTGTCCTGCAGCAGGCTGCCGCTGCTGCTGCACTGCAGAGGAGTCCCGAGGCCGGCCTTTTGGGAGCCTGTTGGTTATCCCAACGAGAGCAGAGAGGAGGTTTCTCCAGATGCCCTTGTCCTTCGTACCCAGAGGAGCCAAGGGCACCATGAAAGTCTGGAGTGCCACCAGGGACCCGTCCACTTCCGAGCGGGGCCAGCTTACCCAAGGACTACCCTCACCCTCAGCCCTGCTCTGCCCCGCCCTGTTCAGCTCCCCTCCCTGGCAGCACATGGCACTAGCACGCGACGTCTCTTTTCTAGCTCCTGACGTCGCAGATTTCCATCCCGAGAAGAGACCCCTCAGGGCCGCTGCTCATGTCTGTGGACCACTGTTTCTCCATCAAAGGCCAAGGCACTGTGATGACAGGGACCATCCTCTCAGGCTCCATCAGCCTTGGTGACAGTGTGGAGATTCCTGCCCTCAAGGTCAGTCTTACCTTGTCCTTCCTTTTCGTTTGTCTCTCTAGTGGCGAGCAAGAGGGTCGGCCCCTTTGCCTCTCCAGTGGCTGAGCTACTGGGCCAGGTCCCCAGGGCTGGCCCTCTGGCTCTGCTCCGCTCCATCTTCTCCTACCTTTCCTGAATTCTAGAACCACCACTCTCCCTAGTTCTCATAACAATACCCACATGGGGAGGCCTGTGACATGCCATGGTGAGCCTGCCAAGTAGGTGTTCTTTGTAGATGAAGAAGTGGAAGCTCTAGAAGGTGTAGTGGGCTCAGGATCACATGATCAACAAGTGAGGGCACAAGGTGCGCGCCTGCCCTTTCTACAAGCTCCGTACATCAAGCTGGCAAGTATGCGTGGACTTCCCTCTGGGTTCTTTTTGCCTCGCCACAGCAGTTTCAAATTAAACACAGTTACAGTCTTGTGTCGCTCAGACTCCTACATTCTGGAGTCTATCCAGAAGAGTTTTATACTCGTAGTGACCACTGGTAGATACCATGTTATCCCCTGGAAGACCTGTGGGCAGCTGCGTGTCTCCCTGTTGCCTCTGCCTCTGGCAACTACCAGCCTGGCTCTGATCTCAGTGCTGTTCAATGGCCTTGATGGTTCCCATCTGTAGTGGGCTTTTCTTGTGGTTTTAGTTTACTGGAGAAGAAGCACTTAGAGCCTCCTTGACCACCCTTCTCTTCAGGGGGAATAAAGGGTGGGGAACAAGGGCTAGTTAGAGCCAGGCAGATCCTATGAAGACATCTGGGGTCCAGGGTGGTTGTCTAGTTCTCAAAGGAACCTGGAGTGCAGGGACATGGAGGCATGAACTTGGCCCTCTATACTGCGCCAGGGACAGCACCAACTGCTGGATGCACTCACAGCCCTGGGTCAGTGGATTCAGTTTGCCTGCTAACTGGGAGTTCTCCCTGGAGGGCTGTCTTGAGACAGATTCTAAGGTTGTCTGGCTTACTAGATGTATTAGAGTCCTCCTCAAAAACAGAGTGTGTGTGTATGCATGTGTGTGTGTATATATGTGGGTATATTTTAAGGAATTGGCTCACGTGATTATGAGGCCCAGCAGGTCTGAAATCCACTGGATAGACCAACAAGATAGAGACCCAGGGAAGTAGTTCAAATCTGAAGGCTATTGGCTGGCAGAATTTCTTCTTCTTCCAAGGAGGTCAGTCTTCCTGTTTAGGCCTTTAACCGATTGGATGGAGTCCACCCACATTATGGAGGGTTAATCTGCTTTCCTCAGAGTTTACTCCTCTTAATGTTAATTTCATCCAAAAAATACCCTCACAGAAATATCCAGAATAATGCTCGACCAAACATGTACGTACAGTGGCTTAGCCTAGTTGACACATAAAATACCCCACCACCCTGTGGGGGAGAACCACAATGACAGTGGCTGCCCTAAAGAAGGGGAGGCCAAGGGGCACCCATACCTTGTGTTGGCCATTCCTGGTCTAGGATAACCTGGGAGGATGTAGGAAAGGGGCATTTCATGGCTGAGAGGAATGACCAGGGCTTCCCCAGGTAAAGGAGACCTCAGGTTTAAATCACCCCACTCTACTCATTTTATGGTGGTGTGGCTGTTGCTTCCTTCTGCAGGGCTGGAGTTACTCGGGAAGAGTCTCCTGACCAGGGAGGACCAACCTCAAGAAAAGCTTCCCTGATAGGCCTGAGACTGGCCAGGTTCCAGGGCTCCCTGGGGTGGCAGCAGGAGCTGAGGGACAATGACCCTGCCCTTCAGAGTCCCAGGGCTTCCCCTGACATAGGCCCCGAGTTCTAGGGTCATAATCGCCTCCTCTGCTGGCTCTCATCGATCCTCCTCTGAAGACCGTTAGTCCTGGATAAACACACCACTTAAATAATCAAATCCGTGTTGTGCCAGGGACTAAAAGTGTAAATCTTAAAAAAATAAAGCACAAAATTATGAAAATAAACCAAACTTATATTTAACAAAGTTAAGATTACTGTAGTGCTGTGTGTTAATTCTTAGCTGGAACAGAGAATGAATCAAATGTAAATTTCTTTGCCTTCTGGGTGTTCCCTGAGGCAGACGCTGAGGAGCCACCCTTGTCCAGTGTCCCTTCTGCGCTGGGAGGAGAACTGTTTGCAGCCTGGGAGAGCAGCCAGGAACAGGAAGGTGGTGTCAGGAGAGGTTGCCGTGGGACATAGACTTGGAAGCACAGTACCTGAGGGACTGGTGTTGGATGATAAGATCAGTGGCCACTATGCTGGACCAAAGCATGGGATGAGGGAGGGCCGAGGCAGAAAGAAGCAGCCACATTAACCTGACAGGAATGTTTGAGTGGCGACATGTTCTGAGGTCTTTGGCCACTCTTTTCATCCTTATGAAGATGGAACTTGTCTATTAGGGTCCCATTACTGATCTGTAGTCCTTGGGCACATGGAAGGTGCTTGGCAAGTATGAATTTAATTCTCCTCTTGCTTCTGTTCACCCATTTCCCCCAGCCTACCTTTTAACTCTCTACTGCTGTGCTATTCTCTAATTTACTGGTCAGGGAAAGCATGACTTATAAGTAGCAAACTTGAATATGTGAATATTTCCAGTCAAAGTGAAGAAAGTGTAGCCTGGTTTCTCCTTTGCTGCTTCAAGTAAAATGTGAGAGGAAAGGAGGGAACTGAAGGTGGAACTGTTAGCAAAAAGATACCTGCACTTGACAATTTGGGAGATTCTCGGCCTTTCCAGATTCCAAACGGTGCTAAAAGTAGGGAATGCACTTTGAAAAAGCATGCTCTGGAGAAGGGCCTTCAGTGAGGCTGGACAGCCTCTGCTGTGGAGAATAGGGATGTGACTTGTGGATCCATTCAGACATCTTAGCAGAAGCCAGGACTAGAGATGGGCTTCTCCAGGAAGGATCTGTGGAGAACTCTCTTTTTTATTGGTGGGGATCCCCTTGACATACATGAGAGACCCACGAGATTTTTGAGAATGTTGTATCCAGCAAAAACACTGTCAGCCTGGACTGAAAGGGACAGACCTGACGAAATATTTAAAAAAAAAAAAAAAAAAAAAAAAAAAAAAAGGCAGTTGGACTTCTGGTATTCTAATTGTAGGAAATAAACTGATAGAATTACTCAGCTCTAACTCATGTTATCTTTCAAGAAAAAGGAAGAATGACTCCAGGGGCAGGGCCGTGGACACAAAGGCAAAAGCCAGAGAGGGGAGCCCAAAGGCCAGGGCCGGGGAAGCCTGTGGGCCCAGAGCGTGGAGGACCAAGCCACAGAGGGTCATTTTCAGTCCAGGAAGGCTAACAGAAGTTGCTCTGTTGGATTTCAAATTTGCTTGGGTCCAGTGATCTCTGTGTTCCCTTCATTTTTCCCCCTGTACCTATATTCTATTATATTTTGTGATTTTAAAAATTATTATTTTTTAATTAACATATAATGTATTATTTGCTTCATGGGTACCGGTCTGTGAATCATCAGTCTTACACAATTCACAGCACTCACCGTAGCCCATACCCTTCCCAATGTCCATCACCCAGCCACCCTATCCCTCCCCCACAACCACCCAGCAACCCTCAGTTTGTTTCCTGAGATTAAGAGTCTCTTATGGTTAGTCTCCCTCTCCCATCCCATCTTGTTTCATTTTTTCCATCCCTACCCTCCATGACCCCCCACCCTGTCTCTCAAATTCTCATATCAGAGAGATTATATGATAATTGTCTTTCTCTGACTTATTTCACTTAGCATAATACCCTCTAGCTCTGCCTATATTTTAAAGCAAAAAGCCTGTCTTTTAGTTTCACACATCCACAGATGGAGAGGCATTTGGCCCCAGGATGGGTCATATCTGTGCCTGATTAGGTGGGTTAGATGATATTTTTGAGCTGATGATATTTAGATGAGATTTTGGACTTAGAGTATGCTATAACAGGGGTGAGAAATTGGCGATGTTGGGGGAAAGTATTTTGCACATGGGATGGATGTGAATGAAGGTTTGGGGACTCGAGGATGGACTGTAGTGGGTAGAATTGTGGCCTACAAAAGCTGTATTCCCCTAGATGCTCAGAAATGACCTTCTTTGGACTATGAGTCTTTGTAGATGTAATTAAGGTAACAGAGGGGACCAACCCCGCTGACATGTGGATTTTGGACTTCTGGCCATCAGGACTGCAAGAGAACACATTTCTGTTGTTTCACGCTTCCAGCTTTGGTCAATGGTTTAGGGCAGCCCTAGGAAATGAACATGGATTTTGGATGGAAAGGACTGAAGTCAGAACACACCTCACGTCCTTTGCAGTTGTGGGCAGGCCTCGTCACTCCTCTGAGGTTTGACTTGGTCGTGGGGGACAACCGGGGTGCTGTGGGGGGTGACACAAGCTGTACGCACACGGGTGGTACAGGTTAGTGGTGGAGTCAGGACTGCTGCGTACAGATGGCCAGCTCTGTTCCTTCCTTCCTTTCCTGTAACTCACCCGTAGCAGGTGAGAAAACCTAGGCCCAGGTCTGTTAAGCAACCAGACAGCAGAGCCAGCATCTGAAGTCATTCCTCTGGCTCCAAAGACCCGGCTGTATCTACTATATCCACTGCCCCTGGGGCCCCAAAGAGACGCCAGGGCCGGTGGCGTTTCCTCTCTGGGGCCAGACCCTCCCACCTCCAGAGCAGCTTCGTAGGTGAGCCTGGCGCCCCACTGAGGCCTCTCCTGGGCCACAGAGCCTATAAAAACACATTTCAGAAGCTCCTGAGGTCCAGAACTCCTGACCTCCTCTTGCCCCCACTTTCCAGTAACTATAATTGGTGGCCGGTGCCTGTCGGGCACTGGGGACATTGCAGGGTGGGGGCTTTAAACTAGATGGCCCTCCTCCCCAAACCTGGTGACATCCCCGTCAGATTTCACTAATCAACTTGGACACATCTGACCGCTTGAACTCCCTCAGAGGCAGGGCACAGCCATTCCAAATAAACAGTCACATTCCCCTCCTGGCCAGGGCTGGCCCGCCGGAGCCGGTCAGACCCTG